GGTAATATAGGTAATAAAGGTGATGAAGGTAAAGGCGGTGAAGACATAGATCAGTAGTACAAAGATTATTCTAGAATAGACAATATTACAAGGGTAAATGCTACTAAAAGTAATACAAAAGGCAATATAAATCTTGAGCGAAAATCACATGTAACAATTCTTCCCCACTAATCTGCGAGTTCCATGAGCAAATTGTTAAATTAGGAAAGATAAATTCATATAGATAAGTTTCTTATACTATTCTTAAATTGGAAATTTTATTGATATGTTATTCTGATAATCAATTCCTATAATTGTATAGCTGATACTCAAATATTAACAATGCTTAGCAAGATTTACTGCACTTGCCATGCAATTCAAGACTTATATGTTCAATATTACTTTTGTATTCACTATTGATATTCTCTTTGTTAGACTTTGGATTTACGAATTATAGACTGTCCGTCGCTGTAAATACCTTCAATACTGAACAAAGTTTTTCCCATAGTTTTTCTATATGATTTTTCCTTTATCAGGTGTCAATCAAGTTTTTCTTGTGTCGTTTATCCAGATTTCACATGTTGAATAATTATCTCTCCTAGTTATATTAGGTCAATCCATTCAAGTTTGCTCATATGCTTGTTTTCCTTAAATGGTATGTAGTGGTGAGGTGAATTTCAAGTTGCAGATTCATAGCGGCCAAAAGATCTTTTTGTTTCCATCAGTTTCTCAAATAATTTAATATTTAAGAATTGATTTTCATTCAGATATTGTCAAACTTCACAAATACAAGTTCAACTATCATTTTCAAAGATTTTTGTGTATTGTTTTTCCAAGGTATTCAATTTTTTTGAATTATTCCTTTGGTTTAATATTGAATACTGATTTTTCTCTCCTTTTTCTTCATTTTAGATTTGTTATCATTATGCCCAGAAGTCATCCTATTACTCGCTCCTCCAATAAGAATCCATTGGAAATTACAGTCAACTACTTGGAAGAACATGCCAAATATTTGCAAAGATATTTGCGCAGGTCGGAATAAAATAATCATCTCTTGGAGCAAAAGTTGGAAATGGTTTTAGAGGAAATAACTATACTTAAAGAAGAATGCACCAATCATTTGGCTGTGAGTCAAACTCGATCAGGTATTATTGGTGTTCTCTAATGTCGTATTGCTGAAATGGGTGGTTCTTGGAAAAACAATATTGTCCTTCATATGATAGAGATGGCATGCTTATTGGATATGAATATAAACTTAATTCAAACTGGGTGTGATTAAATCCTGGAAGAAATCCTGGGCCTTGTCTTCTCAGTTATCAAGAAGAACAAGAAAGAAAGAATAATAATAACAATAATAATAATGTGTAAGAATTTTGTTTTTAAATAAAGAATTATTTTTGAATGAAACAGTTGCTACTGATAAGAAAAATGACACACTGGAGCTAGGGTTCTGGCCAGTTATTTTGCTGTTATATTTTTTTGTTTTATTAGGAAATCTTGTACCAGCTTCTTTTAATCGGTCTTTTCCTCCTTTGAATTCAATTAAAGGTTTGCCTTTTTAATCTTGGTATTTGTTCTGTTCAATCTATCTTTATGAATTCATTACAAGAAATACAGTAGTTGCTGAGTATGCTTTGTGGACCGGCTGTGATGAAAGAGGAGAGCTTAGTGGGCCCTCTTCATTGCACTGTATTTCTTGCTTGCGTCTTAGTTTTCAAATTCCTTCCTCTATTCAAGGGTTCAATGATACTTGTGTTTGGGCAAGTTGAGGACTGGGCTATCATGGTATCTACATCCATGTCGTATAGCCTGGGTGCTGTATTTTATACAGTAGCTAAAGGATATCTCAAGATTTCAATGTTTCTTAAAATATAAAAGTAATAATGATAATAAAATTATAAAGTTTAATAAAATTAAAAATGTTTATGTGAATAAAATAACTGAATATATTATCTGTGTTAAAATGAATTGAAAGAATAATATTTTTCACTTTAATAATTTCATAAAATACTATAGCCTCAAACATCATCCTGCTACAATTTTGTGCTTCATGACTGACCAGCCTTTAACCAGCATATGCTATGGATTCCTAAGAATTAAGGTTGTCTATGGCTATGTAATGGCTTTATGAAATTACCAGAGCAAAATAATAATATTTTTCCAAGTCAAAAAAATAAAGAAATAAAACGATATATGTGTCACTAACTGCTAATAGAGTATGAGGGATAATCAAAGGAATAACGAAGGAATGATAAAGGGTAAGGGTAATTAAAAGGGGTAAAGGTAATTATTAACTTTGCTTTTGTCCTTCATTATTTTTTTATAAAGGGACGGGGATTTCATCGCAACATGATTTCATTAGGGCGGGGTAAGATTTTGTGGGCAAGATCAAGACATGTAGGTACGTGGTATGCTAGTGGGGCTTTGACGTCAAAGTGTATACTAACCACATCTCTTTTTCTTTGTAGGGGTACCGTCACCATTATGCGACCAATCGCGATGATTAGCGAGGATTGCGGGTTCGTCAAAGTCGGTCTTGATGCGGCTTCGTTGGTTGGTTCGGCGGTGATAAGCTCTTCTGTGGGCTTCTCTTTCTCCTTTCCGTCGTCATCTACATCGTACTGCTAGTGGTGGTGGTATTATCATCGTCGGGGGAGCGTGATCGTGGTAATGGCCATGACAGCTTCTCGGCATTCACATCAGAGCTGTCATGCCATTGCAGGTGGGTTCTTACAGAGTTTGGGTTGGGGAGTGTCTGATTCAACTCTTCTACCGATACGTTGATAACTAAAACCACTTTATTGAATAATCCGTCATTTTTGTCGTCATATCACAACGTGTTGGTTGTAATTGTGTCACTCTTATTAGATGGATCTGATGCGACTCGTTAAACATGTATTTGATATCTGGACAGTCTGATGGTTCATGCTTTCTTGATGGTGTAGCCTCTTCCAACGGTACTAGTTAGGTTTGTCTTCTTCGTATTGGTGGCGGTGTTCGCGATTTCTTGCGCAATCGTGATCATGATCATGATCATGATTATGACAGCATCCCAGCATTTGATCTTCGGTGCTGTCATCTTCAGAAGGTGAAATAAGCTTTTCATTGTGTTTCGGCTGTTGTGTATAGTTAGTTCTTTCTCTAATCATTTTTGTTTTCTTTTTTTCTTCTTTTTCTTTCTGCGTCGGTGCCTTCTTCACGGTCTTGTCCCGGTATTTCCAATTGTAAGGGTAGTATATCTCTTGTCAGTCGTAATGTTGATTATTGTGGTGGGGGCTTGTCGGAGCGTTAGACTTTCCTTGCTGCTCTGACATCTTTGAGAATATATATGTATGCATATATATTCTAGGCGTGCATTATCCGACTTGTAAGATAATTAAACTTTTTCGATCGTGACCGTGATCACGATCATGATGGTATTTCGGCATTTCCAGTCATCGGTCTTGGTCGTATTCTCTCGTCTTGGTGTAATTCCGGTAAGTCGCAGCGTTTTTTTTCTTTTGCGGCGTTCTACCATTGGCTTCTAACTTTTCTTATCAATCTTTTCCTAGCCCCATGCTTCACATTCGATTCGCCATCCGCGGGTTCTCCTTGACCCTCGGCGATATCCATCGTCCCTGGCATGAGCTACCGGAGTCTCGTCGGTAAGTTCTAGTTCTTTTTGCCTTCTGGTTTCTTCGCCGTTCTTTTCTTTACAGACGGTCCTTTCTTCCTTTAGGAACTCGTCCCTTGATTCTTTCGGTGCCACGGCGTTTCTTCGTGATCGTCGGTATCTCGGCATGACCCTCGGAACCGACGACTCACTCCAGATAAGCACCTTTTCTTTTTTTTTTTTTGTTATTTATTTATTTTAAAACAGAAAAACTATTGAATACCGTTTCTTTTCTTGGCAGGTTTTCTGCTCCGTCCATTCGTTGTCATTCTTTTTGGAGATCGTACGGCATACTGGCCATATCCTCGGGGCGACATCTTGATGAGAGGTAAGCGGTCTCTTTCCTCTCTCCTCTTTGATATTGTGGTCATGTTTCGTCTTTTGATTTTGCATGTTCCTTCTCACCATCCTCAGAACTAGAATCTTCATCGTTGATATCACTATCATCGACAGATTCTGTCACCAGGATCGGCGTGATGGTATGAAATCCTCTGGCTCATCTGATACATCGATGTGCGAAGGAACACTTGGTTGTAATACTGCAGACTTTTATCATTTCCACCTTTCCATGTGTCAAATTCTTGTTGAAAGTGATAAGAACTGCAAGGTCGGCACAAATAACCTATTTCAATTCCAATTATCATAAGTGCCATCACACATCTTCGTTTCATGTTCCAAACTTTTAGCTTTCTTCCGTCTTCATCCCCCGTCTTGTGCCGCTTCCATCCTTCTTTTTGCTTCTTCGGGGCTTACGGCTTGTCACGAATCGGGGGTAGGCTTCTCTTGGGGCACATAATTTTTTTGAGAGCGGTATGCAGTGTCGTTCATGTACTCATTTTTTATATTTTAATTTTTTAGGGGAGGCGCATATACCGCCGATCCCATGATCGTCGTTTTCAAAGCTTCGCTTTTCTTCTGCGCAAGCCATTCCGGAGCTTCTATAGTTAATTTGGGACTTTTTTTAGGTCGGGATGATGCTTCTTCCTCTATTCGGCATATACCAGCAGCCGAATTCTTCTTAGGCATCATCGTTGAAGCGGAATTGGTCGTTGCTTCTTGGATCGTTGTGGACACAACGTCGCTTCCGTCGCTCCTGTGAAGATCGAACTTCCTCGGGGGCAATTTCTCAGGGGTGACAATCAAAGGGCGTTCCATTTTTGGGACCTGATTGTCAAACTTGCGTCTAAACAAATGAGGCGCATCTCACAGTCACCACCAATTTGTCATATATCTTCCTACCTCAGGAGAAAGATATGGACAGAGAACTAATAGCAGTGAGACACTTTGTATGGATGGACCAATGTGGTATGCTAAAGTTCATAAGGGTGTATTAAAATTAGTACAATTCTGAGGTGTATGAGGTCAAACAAAAGAGGCAATGGTGATTTGTTTTATAAAGGTCAAGTTATTTTATTAATAAAG